GGGATGATGATTACTGAGAGTGGCGCAGCTCTTAGGCATCGTCTAGAGGGACCTGACATTAGACTGTTCACTGCAGAAGTATTCACATAAAAGATAGCTTTTCTTGAGAAAATTTGTTGTAGATTTTAATTTACATCACAGATTTAAAACTGCAGATACCTTTGTCTGAAGGGAAATCTTACTAAAAGTCAGCACTTAGACCCTCTTTCAAATTTTATCATTTTTAGTCCTATGTTTTTAAAACTTCTTATAATTCACTAACTGTTCAAAAGATCTTTCCTACATTAAGTTTAAAGTACCTCTCTGCTTTTATTCTTACCTAGTTTTATGTAAGGAATGTTTTGTGATTCAGACTCCTATTTATAGAGTTGATATGATGTATTATGAATTTAGGAGGATTTTTAAGTCTGCCCTACTATGTTCTTTAATAAACAGGATGTCCTAATTTTTTTCCACCTATTAAGATGATGGTGCAGTTATGGAAATATTGCCTATAGCTTATATGTTAAAATTCTAAATTATATTGGTATCCAAATATGCCTTTGCTTTTTGTAATGCTGGGAGAAAATAGGCATTTTTTTGAAGACTTGACTGGCTAAGGAAATTAAAGTACTGAAAAGTTAGGAATAAGTGCTGTGTCTAAAGATAGTTGTGAAAAAATTCATTTTAAAATCAAATTAATGGAGATACGAACAGAGTCGTTCTAATCAGAGAAATGAAATAATAGGGATTATTTCTTTTAATTTGATGTGTTTTAAAATTGTCATCTCAGTGAATGCTTTAGTTCTAATTGGATAACTGCATTTGCAAAGTAATGATGTTGCTTGAAACTATGTGCAGAGAAAGTGTAAAAGATGAACTATCTGCTATATCTAGTTCAATGCACAGTTGCCATATTTATCCTTTGCTCGATTAAGGAACCATATTATTGGGAATTATTTAAATATTGATGTATATCTGGAAGTTTCATAAATTAAATGAGTTAAAAAATAAATTACTTCTGTTACTGTTTTATATGGAAGCTCCCAAGTTTTTTTCATATCATAGTTAAACTGGAAATTATATAGGCTACTGGTACTTAATTACAATGTGAATAATTATTTTGTCCATTATGTTAAAGTTAGGAGAAGACTTTATCTTTTTGTGTTTTTTTCCTAGATAATCTTGAGCCAAATTTAATTATATCCAAAGAATTTTTTTTTTTTAATTATTTTTTTGAGGCAGAGTCTCACTTTATTGCCCAGACTGGAGTGCAGTGGTGTGATCTCAGCTCACTGCAGCCTTCTGTTCCTGGGTTCAAGTGATTCTCCTGCCTTGGCCTCTCAAGTAGCTGGGATTACAGGTGCTGCCACCATGCCCAGCTGATTGTTATACTTTTAGTAGAGATGGGGTTTCACCATGCTGGCCAGTCTGGACTCAAGCTCCTGGCATCAAGGGATCCACCCACCTTAGCCCCCAAAGTGCTGGGATTACAGGCGTGAGCCACCGTGCCTGGCTTCAGAGAATATTTTTACCAATAGTATATGATATTACATGGTTTCCTTGAGATAATGAAGAGTTTCCAAAAGAAAGACACAGAATTTTATGTTCTTGATATCTTAAAGAAAAAATATATTGAGTGCTCATTACTTTAAACCTTTGAATAACTTTTAACAATCTCTCCACATTCCTACTGTTTATTGATATTCTTTTGTATTATCTTAAGATAGACTGAATTGAATGAAATTTGATTTTTGTAGTTTTTAATGGTAATTAAATTATTGATAGAATCAGATATACAAGCTCTTTAACATTTAACATAAATTGAAAGATGGAAGTGATTTAAATTGGATTTGTTTCAGAATTCCATTTTAGAAATCAGTTGGCAGTATTAGCAGCATCACTATTATATGAATATATGCTAATGTAGAATGAAAGAAAGGTCCTCATTAAAATCTTGTTGCTAAACAAGTGACAGAAACCTTACAGACAGCTTTAGGCTTCAGGTCAGTCACATTTACTCCTGAAGAGATATGGACAAGTGTGAAAGTGTATAGACTATGCCTTTATTGTGATCAGAACACATAAATGCTATTTTGTACCAGTTCCCTACCAAGGACATTTTTATTAATAGTAAACAAAACAAATCTTAATGCAATGCCTAAGCATCCTATTCTCAAGTAAGGTAAAATATTGGGTTTGTTAAATTCAGAAAGTAAACATTTGCTAACATCCATTGTGTCTGTGTTTTCCAGAAAAGGACTGAAGTTTGGTCAACTAGTGTGTTTTCATGAGGCAAAATTCATTATCTAATTACCTTTCTTCCAGACATTATTTGGGTGAACTGGTCTGGTATAGGTATAGTAAGGTGACAGTAAAGGTAAGGTGGTGCAGGGGAATCCAGCCAATGGTTCATTACCACTATTGAGCATGGCAGTTCTCTTAAAGAAGCCTTTAGCTAGATTTAGCTAATTCTGGATTAACTTTATATACATATTGTTTGAGGATTGCCCATGTCTTTTTATTTGGGGATCGTAGTCTTTGCTTATATAAAGGTGGATCTTAACATCACGTTGTAAATAGAAAAATTAACATGTAAGAATAGATAGGCATTCCAGAGTGAAAGATAATTGACTTTTAGATAGCCATGTGGCTACCCTTCAGCATCTGCACTGGAGAGCTGGCTGTAAGTCCGCTTTGCCTTTTGAGTATTAGGGAGTCCTTAGTCAAAGGGCACAAAGGAATTTCCTTTGGTTTGATTTGACCTGTGTGCCCAGCTCCTCTGCATCAAGAGGAACAAGAACATTTGTAGTTGGAATAAAGAAGATACTTGATTACATGTAGAGTCTAACAGGCTGGGTTGGGAATGAGAGAGCAAATGTTGGGACTGCTGAGACTAGTGAAGCAGAAGCCAAAGGGAACTAATCCTGTGTGTCCTTGAAGGGGAATACTATGTATGAACTCATTTCGTGTGATCACGCACGCTATTTGAATTAAAGTCATTTCTAGCATCCCTTGTTCCTTCTTCCTATTCCACCAATTTTCTTGGAAGTATCACTATGATGTTGTGAGTGGATACAGGTATCTATGCTGTAGGACTCTTGTCCCAGCAAAGCCCCCATAATGAATTTTTTTTTTTTTTTTTTGAGACAGAGTCTCACTCTGGTCTCCCAGGCTGAAGTGCAATGGCACGATCTTGGCTCACCGCAACCTCCGCCTCCTAGGTTTAAGCGATTTTCCTACCTTAGCCTCCTGAGTAGCTGGGATTACAGGCACCTGCCACCACACCCGGCTAATTTGTGTATTTTTAGTAGAGACAGGTTTCACCATGTTGGCCAGGCTGGTCTCGAACTCCTGACCTCAGGTGATCTGCCCGCCTCGGCCTCCCAAAGTGCTGGGATTACAGGCTTGAGCCACCGTGCCCGGCCCATAATGAATTTTTTATGCATTTAATCTCATTTTTGGTTGCTTGTGGTTTAAAAATATTTTTGTTACATAAGTATGTATTTTCACGGGCATTCCTAAAATTATCTGTTTAAGACAATTATAAATAATGTATAATCCCAAGTACCTGGAAGGATAACACATAGCTTAAGAGAGGAATCTTGATTATTTTGTATTTTAAAAGTTACAAAACATATTGAGAAAACACAATCCAGAATTTATTTTTATTTTTATTTTATTTTTTTGCCTACAGCTTCTTTGTAAGGACGATGTTTAAGATCTCACTTGGAAACAGTTGCTTACTTACAGGAGATTAGGGGTGGCAGAGTCTGGAACTAGAGCAGCCAGTGGTCAGAAGGAGGGACCAGAGTAGTTCACGAGAGTAGCTTCAAGAGATGAGGAGCAAAGCATATGTCCTGTGTAAGGGATAAGACAGGACTGAGTCTGACCCAAAGCAAACACAAGACAGAGTAGTAAGTGGCCCAGCTGTGGGTAGCATAGGTACCAGGCTTTTCTGGATTTGTGGTCCTGAAAAGGCAGAATACTCAAGGTGCCAATACAATTTAAAGGGCAAATTAGCAGAGTGGAAATTTGACAGAAAGCCATTTGAAATATCTAGGGCACCTAGAACTTCCTTGGGAATGAAATGGGAGTCCTGTTATTAGAAGTTAAGAAACCATGGCAGGGTTGTGTAAAAGCAAAGGGATGCCTTGATGCCATCAGGTGGGAATCCACCGGCTTTTGTTGCCAGGTACTAAGAAGACATGCAGAGACTAGACAACAGATACCAATGTCTGCAAACAATTCCCCTTCAAAGGAGGAGGCAGCTCTTGGTATTTCTCCTGGAATATACAGTCATGCACTGCATGACGATGTTTAGATCAACGATAGACTACATATATGATGGTGGTTCCATAAGATGATAATGCTGTATTTTTACTGTACCTTTTCTATGTTTAGAAATGTGTAGATACACAGGTACTTACCTTTCTGTTATAATTGCCTGCAGTATTCAGTACAGTAACATATGGTACAGGTTTGTGGCCTCGGCTATAGCAAATAGCCTAGATGTCTACTCAGCTGTACCATCTAGGTTTGTGTAAGTACACTCTGATCTTTGGACCACGATGAAATTGTCAAATGATGCATTTCTCAGAACATACCCTCATTGTTAAGCAGCCCATGATTGTACTGTTTCTCTACTAGAAATCCTATCTCCACATCCTGTCTCTTTGAAGTCCCCTTGCCCTTCATCTCAGAAGTCCTCTCTCCCTCCTCTCAAATCACATTTATTTCTACAAAGTAAATATCACTCATCTTATTCTGCCTTTTACTGGTGTACATGTCTTTTGTTGAGCTTGATACCATGTGCCAAGCCCAATCTACGTAATAGATGTTCAAGGCTGCAGTGAGCTATCATCATGCCACTGCACTCCAGCCTGGGCGACAGGCTTTCTTCTAAAAAGAAAAATAATTGTGTGTGTGTGTGTGTGTGTGTGTGTGTGTGTGTGTGTGTGTGTGTGTGTGTTTATACAGATGTAATTACAAGTAATTTTTTCCTTCCAAATGTATTTCAGATTTTACCAAATGTTGCAAGAACTCTGGAGTTCTTATGGTAGTAAACTGCCGGAAAGAAAACTCTGCATTGAAAGAATGTCTGACTGCTTAGTAAGTAGTTATCTCGATGTTTGTGCTTCTATGTGTATTTGTAGTAGATAAGAGTATATTACTTAACTCAGTACATGTAATATATTCTGTACCTCTCCATACCAAATTTATCATATTGTTGGCTGAGTCTAAAGTTCCAGTATAGTCTTAAAAATGCAACATATTTATGAGTCTTTTCAAATTTTATCAGCATTGTATCTAATTAAAAAGATGAAGTCAGCAGACAAAAATATATGATTTTTCACTATTTAACAAATCTTTTTTCATGAACAGTCTGATCTGTAAAATATAGTACAGACTGATATTTGTTTATTCTATTGTGAAGATAACTGAATTAAAATATCTCTGAGACCTTCTCCAGCCTTGTGATTTGTTGGATTAATATAATTTAACTCCTAGAAAGCTGAGATAAATCATATGGATGATATAAAGGTAAATTTAGATTTTTGAAGTTAACCAAATTAACTTTTAAAATAATTTTATAATATCATGTGCACTAATGTTTTATTGTAGTTCCTTAAATCTAAGTAAAAATGTGTGAAGTTCTTTGAATTCACATACTGATTTATTCACCCAAGTTCTATCGCCCACATTATTGACAGATAATATTGTAGAATACTTTAGCAAGTATTGTTAATTGAATGTTGAGAGATCTTAGTTTTGGTAAGCCTTTATTTCCTTTAATTTCTCTAGCCTGTGCAGTGTGTATGTCAGTATGATACATGTCTTAGGGGATTAAATAAAATAGTAATGAACACCTGAACCCTACATTTTAAAAAAAATAAAATACCTACACATAAACTTATAGACCTTTTTTTAGAATGGTGGAGTTGGAAAAGACTTTAGAGATAATGTAAACTCATCTCTACATTTGCTATATTTGTAGATGATGAAACATAATCAGTGTTGATTTTTTTTCTTAAGTTAATATCAACAGCAGCCCTTATTTATGGTCTAGGTATTGTACTCAGTGCTTTACCATAGAGGAGTGAAACTTCGTTCTGTGACTCAGTTCTATTCCCGAGTGCTTCCAAGAAATGTTTACTGAGTAAACGAATCCCTTAAACTTTTGTATGACTGAATTGTTAAATTCTGTCTTATATATTGATTAAATAATTTTTATATCTCAGATTCAGTCATCATAATTGTTATTGCTAGTTTGACATATTATCCTTCACTCCAGTCGGGGCAGCTCTAGAGCAGAGTAGACGGGAGTCTAGACTGCAGAGGGCAACCTGGGTTCCGCTTCTGCATCAGTGAGAGCTTAGCTAGCCGTGTGACCTTAGGCAGGCTCTTCATTGTAAGAATGAATAATTATACCTTATGGAGTGATTGTGAGGTACTGTATGTAAACACATTTACCATGATAGGTATTCAGTCAATATTAGCTCTTTTTTGATTAGTATTTGTTACTATTTATCTGAATATTAATCATTTGAATATCCTTCTCTCTCTCACCCCCTAGATATACGAGAAGAAAATAAAAGATTCTAGTCCATCTGAGGGGAGGAGAGGGCTAGGAAGGATGGCTGTTTCTGCTTGCTTAGAAGAGATAAGCAGTGGATGTAACATTAACTGAAAGTAAATGGAAAATTATTAGGGAAAATTTTACTTGACTTTGAGTCCCCAGATACACTAAGAAATAGTATTTGTTCATCTTTAAATAAGAGGGTGTTCTTCTTTGTTAATTACTATTGACATTTCCATGAAATGAATGTAACTGCTTATCCTCTCTCATTTTGAAACATTGTTTTTGCTTACCTCTTACCTTCATTTATAATCTGATTTCTGTCCTTACATCACTGAACCTGCTCTTTTTAAAGGCTCTAATGGGCTGATGGTAGACAAATCCAACAAATTGTTCTTTTTTATTTGACCTCTCTCTGGCAATCCCTTCTTAAAAGTCTCCTCTGTCTTCCCTGATAATATTTTTTCCCATTTTCCCAACACCTCTCTGTACTTCTCAACGTTTTTAATCTACTCCTTAAAGTTGGTGATTCCCCAAGTTCTCTTCTCATTCTGAAAGCTGAGGAAGTTTAGTTTGCACCCATGAATTCAGTTACTTACTATAGAAAGTAACATTTGTTTCTTTATTCAAGTCCAAAAATGAATTTGGCTCATTTTGCTCATCCTACGTGTCTTTGTGAATTATACAGTTGTCTAGTATCTACAGTCTTATCTCCTAACTCTAACTGGTTATTTCCTGTTGATTACTGAAATTTCCCGCACATTATCTCTTCCTTTTCATTCCTTCAGCTCTTCTTTTGGCCTGTGCCTTCATCATTTTTTGCCTGGATTATTTTAACCGTTTATTGGCTATCTTGGCTCTAACATTGCTTGCCCCCTTTTGCCCTATCTGCCACATTTTGTCAGATTCATCCAAGACACAAAACTGATCTTACAGGTGAGGTGCTCTATTAATTGTGCTCCATTTTCTTCAGGATAGATTTTCTTCGTATAGCATAAAGGGCACATCATGATTTGACTTTTGCCCATTCCATCTTCATTTCAGGCCTTTTCTCCTATGTGCATAATCTGCTATAGTGGTACCTATCTACTTGCAGTTTTTCATGCATTAGTTTTTCCTCATCCACGTGCCTTCCCACACTTGCCTTCTATATGGATTTCTGTTGGTCTTTCAAAATACGACTCAAGCATTTCCCCTTGATATCTCTGCCTTCCCCATTTCTTCCTTGTTTCCATGGTGCACTGGGGCATACCTCTGTCACAGTATTTTGTACACTTAATCCGGTCTTTACTTGTCCTTTACACCGTGGGTTCCCAGGACAGGAGCTGTGCTTCTCACTGCTGTATCCTGTAACAGTACTATATAAAAATGAATGATTTGGTCTTCAGTTTGGTAGCATAAAGTTAACAGTGAATTTGTAACCATTACTAAAAGTGTGCTTCTAAAGATTGAGCCTGATGAACCAGATGTCTGAATATTAGTAATTAAAGTAAGCTTACATTTAACACATGCAAGATTACTTTAAAATATTTTCATTTCCTTCTCATAGCTATAATGATCCAGCCTTTCATGAAGAATGCAAAATGGAATACCTGAAGGAAAGGGAAGAATTCAGAAAAACTGGAATTCCTGCAAAGAAAAGGCTACAGAAGGTTCCAACAAGCATGTAGGCAGATACTCAAATGACATTCAGGAACTCTAATATTCATGGAAGTCATTTTATAGTATAAATCACCTTAAATAATGAACTCAAGCATGTATGTTTGCTTTAATTATGGAAATACTGAAATAAATATTTTATTTCAAAGTTCTGGTTTCTTAAATGGGAAGGTAGTAGTTACTGAAGTGGGATATGGTTTTCCTGGTCATTCTGGACCTTTTGAAAGTTTTTCCACAACTGTAGTTCTATAACAGTGACACTGACTTTTTACAGTCTAATATGGTCCTTATATTACTTTTCTTCCAATGTATAGGCTAATGGCTAATCATGGGAGCCAAAACTAAAGAAAAGCAGTAATGGATAACCTTCAAAGGTGTTAATAATAACTGGGCAGTATAGCAGGATGGCTATGAACCAGAATCCTTCCTGATTCTACCACTTATTAGCTATACAACTGTGGAAGTAAATCTAATACAGTTTGTTGAGGACGTACTGAGTATTGCATATAGCAGCTACACGTACAGCGTATAAGACAGTGCTTCAGACCTGGTGGATGCTCTTATATTGGTAGTTACTGTTAGTAGTAGTACAGGCTCATTTGGAAACTATCTTAGTCCATTGGGAGAATACCCAAGACCAGGTAATTTATAAGAAAAATTTGTTTGGCTTACAGTTCTGGAGTTTATTTGCCAGCAGCTTCTGGCAAGGGTTTTCATACTGCATCAAAACATAACAGGGTGAAAAAACAGAAGGACGAACAAGTGTGGGCAAGCTTTTGTAACAACTCGCTCTCTTGAGAATTTATACCTGCAATAACGGCATAAATCCATTCATGAGGGCTCCACCCTCATCACCCTATTACCTCTTAAAGGCTCGGTCTCTTAGTACTGTTAAATTAGCAATTAAGTTTCCAACACATGAACTCTTGGGGGACACACTCAAACCATAGCAGAACCATAGATAAGGAGATACTTACATGAATTAATTTTACTTACATCTTTGATGTAGAATTTTCTAAAACATACGTTCTTAACCTGATAACTTGGCCACTGAGTCCTTTAATCTTTCATTTTGAAAAGTTACCTTTCTAAGTGAATTACCATCCTGTAACATAGTAATGGACTCAGGAAGTAGTATAAAAAATTTGTGTCCCAATTTAATAATTTGAACTTTTATATTAAAAGTTATTTTTCCCCATGAGCTGTTAACTCTTCCACAGCCATTGTAACTAGTTTCAAGATAAGTAAATTTTATGTATATTTTCACACAATCCTCATTAAAAGCACAAATAGAAATTACTACCCACTAAGACAAGGTTTAACTTTCCCTAATCCCATGAAATAGATCTGAGAGATTTTTTTTTTTTTTAAGAAAGAACTTAAATAGGACACTGAAGAATCAATAAATGTTCAAGTTCCATACTTTACTCTTGAGTGAACCACTCAAAAAACTATTTTACTCTTATTTGTAATACAAAGAAACCACATTTTCCCAGGCCACAGATCAAAAGGAAGATGATTACTAGAGCGGACAAAAGCAAAGCAAATACAGAAATCTAGAGACCACACAGCATAGGGGCAAACCTGCCCATATTTCCACATTGACCTTTGGTATTGGTGCATTTCCTAGAGCACAGGAAGTTACCTGTTTTTAGAGATAATGGAAAGGTTACTTTAAGAAGCTAGTGAAATACACAATCTGTGACTATTTTACAGCTTTAAAATCAGAAGTAGCCCACCTCATGTAGAAAATTCACTTATGTATATGTTGCTTTCCCCATAGAAGCCAAATTAGATTATATAATATAAATAATATGTTCATCCTCATGTCAAAGACTAAAACCATTCATTGTAGGCTTCAGAATACCCATGCGTATCCATACTGAAGATGTTTTTCACCTGGTACATCTGCCTCAGTTGTGTCTTGCTTGCTTATGGGTGCCTGTTGATATTATTCTGTTAATATGTGATAACCCACAGGCTTTTTACCCCTTAACATACACCTTCTCCAAGTAGCCTTTCTGAATTAAGATCAGTACTTTGTTGTCACATGATTCAGTTCTTCAAGTCTGAATTTTCCCATTTATTTTGGTTTTCTAATGTTTCACATAGGCACGTTCCTGCTTTTAAGAATTCAGTTCCATTTTGGCAGCAACTCGATAAGTCTTACAGATGTAAATTTTACTTTAGCTAATAAGGGAGCAAGAGGAAGGAATAGGTGGCTTTTTGTTATTTATGTTCTCTTCATTCTGTCGATTTATGGATGTACTGAATTGAACCTTATAAAAAGAAATATAAAGATTCAAAGGAAGCTCTTGAGAGCAAGTTTCAGCTAGTTTAAGTCAACATATTCAATTTTAAATAGATTTATAAGTTACAGATGGGCCACTGTTTTTTTTTGTTTGAATTTTACCTAGAGCAGAGATGATCAAGTGTACATTTAAAAACTTCTAGCTGGGTAAAAAAATTTTGGTTAATCTTTCCTTACTAAAGAACCTTATACATCATATGTCTAGCACTTTAAACTGTCACAGTCACTGACTTTAGTACACCTGTTTGATAGCTATCATCACTGTACTGTTTAAATGGAAAATAATTTTCTCCACTCAAAAGCTGGTTTAACAAATGTCTATTATATGAATCATATTAACAACTAACAATTAGTACCAGACTTTGAGATATATAGGCAAGGACAGTATTTCACATCCACTTCAATTTCAAACAAAAATAATTTATTTTAATTGAACAATTTCTTGGTATTTTTCAAAACATTAATCAAGCAATTATTTCATAAGACTTTTTTTCTTTACAAAGGAAAATTTCCAATTTTGGTTTTAAAAAAGGTAAACCAGTAAGCTACATTAGAGATCAGATACAATATACAGCCTATGCAGCCACATGAGAAATAGTTTTTGCTGCTTTGTTATTACAAACAGGTAGTTGCTTCCTTCAGCTAAAGCCTGGAGTATTGTATTTGTTTTATGCATATTGGGTTTGGGTCTATTACTTGGCAGGAGATTGTACTCCCCTGAGTCAGTATGTTCATTGGTCAGAATAAATTCCAGCATCTGACACCAATTCCATTAATCACAGACAAGCTTGAATAAGTGTAAGATAATAGAAAGAAAAAAATATCTGATGAATGGTGAACACTGTCTATGTATGTATGCTATTCAGTAATATAGTAGAAGAGATCTGAGATACTCTTTTGAGTTCAAGATATATGAAACTGTCTATCAAAAAGGATAAAGTCCTCCTACATGAAATACTTTAACTCAGGCAAAAGGTGTATGAACCAAGTAAATCTCCACCCTGAAAGAATTTAGATAAATTTCCATGTGAAGCCATCTTTGTTATTTCCTTCTTTATTTACAAGTAATTGGCCACTGAGAATAAGCGTGTGTGGACATTTCATGATTGACAATATCAATACAGCCCAAACTTTGATTTCTATGATTAAAAATTCTAATTTAAAATCACTTTCTCAATAAATATATTACATTTCAACACAAAGTCTAACAATTTAGAAGCTGGTCTACACAAGCAGTTGTAGTCCCTTTCAAGAAAATTACTTTTTATCATTACACACATACATTTATGTTTATATTATGGCCCACTGAAGGGGCAGATTAGACTGAAATCTGTGTGATGCTCTTTATACTACTAATTGAATGGTGTGTAGGGTTAACAATCATTTGTTTACACCTAACAGAGGTTTTCAACTATTTCACCTTTTTTTTTTTTTTCCCCCAATTAGGACTTAAGGAATGTACTGGGACAAAGTTGGCTTCAATGATCAGGTTGTTTCAAGTCTTAGAATTCAAACTTCCATTCTAAAATTTTATCAACAAAACACGGTGACTAAAAAAATCACTTTAAATCTTAAATATTGAAACACAATAGCATATAAAGATGGTATAACCTAAGATGCTTTTATTTCATTATATTTTCAGTATCTTTATGCATTGTACCAACAGAAATGTAACCTGTTCACATTGCCATTTTTTCCATTATGCAATCTGAAGCAACATACATGGTTTCCTTTTATTTTCATGAACAGATATTTAGACATTTCACACTTTGTAAAACCACGTCTACAATCTCCAATTCCATTCTTCTGAGAGGCAAAATTTTACAATTATCGAAGGCAGAGTTCTCTTTTTAGAACACCTTAAGTTTACTTATTAATTAGTAGAGTAGTGTATTTCGGATTCTTAGAATATGGAGCTAGAGGGTGCTCTTTCATACTAGAAAACCAACTATGTTGGTTTTTGTAAATATTGTACAGTATGTTCAAATATAGTTACTGAAGAACTCTGCAAAATTTTAATCGAAATCCCCTTTCAGTTTGTTAAATAATTTCTTGGGAGGACCACTGAAAGAGGTAGTGTCCTCATGGTCAAATCGTGAATCTCTTCCAAATTAATTCTTATAAAGGCAGTTCTGATTATGCTGATCCAAGTAATGCAGTGGTGGAAGGTTGGGTAAAGGTAAAGTTTTACTTTTAGTTTCCCCAAATGCCGTCTCACTTGATTTAGGAGGACTTGGAAATACCCAGGAATTGTCTTCCAGAGAAAGAGAATTTCTGCCATAAGAACTGTGTTCCTGAAAGCATGTACCATCATTAGGAATGGATCTCTCATTGTCTGTCCATGACTGGAGGACTGCTTTCTCTGATAAAACCTTTATATCTCCTGGTAAGGGGGAAGATGCGGCATGACAAAGAGCTTTGCCATTTGGTGAGAGAGGAGGATGTCTTGTGTATGTTGCAGTAAAATTCATCAAGTGCAGTTTTGTGCTGTCTCTTCCAAGGTCTTCACTGCATCCTACAGGGGCACAGGCTAAAAAGAAAACACAGACTAAATGTCAGATGACATTTGTGATCATAAAATTCGGTAACACTTCACTAATTTGACTGAATTCTAGAACTGGTGATGAAATTAACATTTCCAAGTTAGTGTGATCATTGAGGCACTGTGACTAGGAGATGACAGATGATCTGAGTTTTAATCCTGGATCAGCAATTTCCTGTGACTTTAGATACTTATCTCTTAGCTGCTCCTGATGTCTCTTTCCTTGTCTGCAGGATGGATATAGAGTTCCTGTCCCAACTATGCCACAGAGCTTTTAAAAGAGGAAGAACTACAT